ATTTTATATTGATTGGTTATTGTTATTAACATCTTTTATGAAGAACAGTTGTGTCATATAGGAATAAAGTGTCGCTGCTGACACTTGGGTTTGAACACAGACTGCCAAAGAGCAAGTACAGTTGACCTCATCTTCAAATAATTGGATCACATGATGGGTAAAGGAAAATAGATATGGGAATTGGCAGTGTCTGACTGAGTATTGTTCGAAGACGTTACTATTATTGTATCTGTGATTTACAAAGTCAAATGGGCATTACAAAAAGTTGCATATTAATTTACCAAATAATTCTATATATTTATTTATTGGTTTCTTAAAGAAACTATTTATCAACTATAAAAAATTTTATGTAGGAAACTCACCAAGCATAAAACTTGTTTATCATTTTGTTAAAATACCACTCAACTCTATTTTTTCTTAGGAAATGGCATTGTCTACTGTTTATAATTTATATATCCATTAACATCTGCTCCTGTTTAATGTCTGTGCTACCATGAACTACCAATCTATGGGTTATGACCCATTTAGGAAAAATAATTTCTTAATTTTTGCTTCTTCACTTAACATAGGTCATATTCGATTGGTTGATCTGAGTAAAACCCACAAACCTTATAACACCCTCTTTTTTCTTTTTTTCATAAAAAGAGGTTGTATTTTGCTTTTAAATCTAAATAAATCATTCACTTGCCAGTAATTTACAATTACCTGATGAGATGCATTGATACGCCTCAAAATACAACTGCAATTGTGTAGCGATTTTGATATGTTTTCAGTGTAATATCCTTATATATATATATATATATAAACATAAACATTTTATGCATGAATAAGGACATTAGGGTATTATTTTAATAACCTGTCAAAGTATATGTGAATTTGAATATTTTACATTTTTGGTGGGTGCGGCTACTCTTAGATATGTTAAAGCTACTGTTGTACTAGTTTTAGCTTATTAATGAGTTACTATTCATGTGAAAGATCTTTGGATATATTTTAATTCAAGATATGTAATTAAAGCCAATAAAAATTTAATTAAAATCTCTTAAAGATGTTTCATATTATGATGTACATTATAGGTCGGACAAAAAGTAATGTGTTTTAATTGGATTTATAATATATTAGCCTTAATTTCTTTATTTTTATTTTTTTTTTACTTATAAGCTGTAAATTGCCTAGACTCCTTGAGAAAACATTTTTTGAATAAAAGTCTCTTTTTCTGCCCATTATCCTCTTTCAAAATGGCTGCACCTCTGGAGAGAGCTCACATGAAATATTTGTTTTTAGAAGGAGGAAGTACAGAAAACATTTAGGAGATTAGTGAATGTTTTTGGAAAGGCAACACTTGATGTAATCACAGTAAGGAGGTAGGTCAGTAGAGGTAAGGGCAATATTAGAAAGGAGAAACTTTAGTGGCAGGCTTGCTGTTACTGTGAATGAAGATAAGGCCAAACAGGCTTATATACTCTGATTATTACAGTGTGTTGAAATAACAATTCTTCTGTGAAAACCTTCCAGTAAGCCATGGTAGTGCCTGCAGTTTAAGTCTTGGTAACTGAAAGGTTTGTTTAAAGTGGATTCCAAGATGCTGATTAGAGTGTATGAAAGATGTTATATATGAACACAAATGGGTATGTCCCAATCCTCATAAATATGTTGGACACGATTGTAAGGGGGAGTAATATGCTAAGTAGCCCACCACTAACTGTGGTTTACCTACTTCACACCACTGGCGAGTATTGTATTTTGTTGATGTTATAAAGATTACCATTTCATTTCCAATCTCTGTTTTGGTTATTCTTCATTCAGTAACCTTTTCTAGGTTATATCAAAGAAGCAGAACCTTGTATGAGTTATACTTCCCCTAATTAAAAGGTGGAATACAGATGAAGAGGGATACACATGACAGACATGTTATAGAAGGCTTCACTCAAAATTATGACAGTGTCAGCAGCAGTTTCATAACTGTAATCTGCATGTCTCATTCCATATGTGCCATGGAGGAAGGTCATAAATTCAAGTGTGTGAGTCACTTTCTGGCAAGTTGATGTCCGCCTTAAACAAGTTCATGTCATTGGCACTTTCTTCTACTGTAATTTTGTTTTACCTCCAACCAAAACTCACAAAGCCAAATGACAATAGGGAATGGATGGCGGGAGCAGGTTTTGGTAAAACTGGCAGTTTCTAGTCCTGAACCTGCATGTTGGCAGTGAATGGAGTCATCAATGCTATCATCATAAAGGGAGCGATCCGCAAAGAAGAAATTAAGTTGCTTGGATATGAAATAAAGATTATGATGACGATTAAAATATAAATTTTCATAAAATCCAATGAAATTTGAAGTAGAAGATACTAATTGATTGTTATCAACAGGGGTTTGTAGTGTTCTCATGATTCACTTGTGCATCTGGAGCCATTTAAGTCAATGTGTTTCTACTGAATTACAATTTCTGTCCTTAATAGTTGTTATATTTAGTGTATAAGATGTGTATACAAATCTATTATGGGACAGAGGTCATATTTCTTTCTCCTCTTATTTCTTTCTCCTTTCTTTCCTTCCCTTCTTTTTTCTTTCTCCTCCTCTTTCTTTCTTTCTTTCTTTCTTTCTTTCTTTCTTTCCCCTCTTCTTTCTTTCCCACCTCTATTTTTTCTTTTTTTTAATTTATTTTTCACTTACATTTTTTTATTCTTCTCTTTCTTATTATTATTCTTACCTTTCTTCATGTAATTTCCTTCTTGCAATTTCTTTTTTATATTTTCTTTATTTTTTTTCCTAATATTTTAAAAATATCTTTTTTTTCTTTTTCTCAAAATCATTTCATCTTTTCTTTTTGGAAACTCTTTTCTCTTTTTTACTTCTTTCTTTTTTTTCTTTCACCTTCGGTTTTCCTTCTATTATTGAATTTTTTCTTTTTGGTCTTTTCTCTTAATTTAACTTTTCTCTTTACCCCTCACTTATCACTGATTCCATATTTCTCCTTTTCTCTCCTTATTTATTTGACTTTCCTCCTTTCCTCCTTTTCCTAAGCTCCTTTTTTTTTTTACTTCTTTCTTTCTTTCTTTCTTTCTTACATATGCTTATCATCTTTTTTTCTGTGTTTCTCCTGACACTTTGGAAAAGCATCCAAAACATTCAGATAAAATATAAGCTTCAATGTTAAAATGTGTTTGGGTAAAGAGTGTGGTTCTCTACATTTTCCAAATTATTTTTTTCTGTTTTTATTTCTTTCTATTTTTTTTCAATTTGTTAAGTAAAAATACAGGTGTTATATTGCACTTTTATGGTTCCCATGTGATTGTATCTGTTTGCTATTTTCCATAAATCTCAGGAAATACTGGAATTAATGCACAACCCATTGACTTCATGTTTCTCTGTTGATTCGTCCTCAAATATGTATTTCTTTCTCTCACTTCCACCGTCATAATTTAGAAGGTTTTACTCTTGCTTTAAAACATGCAGGCATTTTTTAATTGTTTTTTTTATTTTTTAGCCTTTCTTTTCACCTTCTTTGTTTCTTTTATTTATAATTGCTTTCATATTGCCACTTTTTGTCTCTTGCTTAGTTTATTGCTAAAATAAACATATAGCATTTTATTCTGTACACCTATTCCATCCTTTTATTGTAACAAACTTATTATATGTTGGATTTTTTAAGACTTATAAAGGTATTAATACAGAATAAACTATTTTATTCAGTGAGGCTTGGTGAGTCAGTTTATTGTCAGGTGGTGCTTTGACATGGTGGAATTGTTTTTCACCAAGGAAAACAAAATAACATATCAAATTTGAAATTTTGTTAAATTTACTTGTATTCATTTTGTACTAATTCACTTGGGAAAGGAATGAACTAAGTCATCCCTGTGCTCTTTGCTATTGCTAGATATCATGACATGAATATGCAATGTAATAGGTCCTGATCTGGCATCTAGTCTACAGTTGCTTTCTCACTGATGTACTATGGCTTCCCTCTGTCTCTTCTATAAGTATTTTCATGGCAACTGTTCTGACAAGATGCTTTCTCTGGTTCCCAGGCTGCATGAATTTAAGTGAGCTACTAGGTTGGCATCTTGGTCATATATATATATATATATATATATATATATATATATATGAAATCAGATATTGTGATATTCAAGTGCCCTACAGCAGGAGCATATTTTTCAGAAGGTGTATATTTTTTCTTTAATAAGATTTCTTGAATGTTCAGGCTGGTAGACAAAAATAATTATAAATGGAATGTCTACACAAATATGGGTATTCGCTAAAAATAATATTTAAAATGATAAAAAAATACGTATACATATCTTATTACTATGTTAAATTCAGTGGGTCGACATGTTTGAGTAGATACTGCTGTATTTTTTAAGCAGTGAAATTAATATTTACAAGCTTAAAGGTGGAAAATCATTGAAATTTTGTTAAATTTACTTGTGTTCACTTTGTACAAATGCTCTTGGAAAAGGCATGAACCAACTAATCCTGTGGTCTTTCTTATTGCTAGATATGACAAATATTTTAGAAATTATGATAAAAAGAATGATAGCAAAAAGCTGAATACTCACAATTTAAATGAAGAAAAATCTTCAATTAGGTCATTTTTTTTTTTTTCATAATTTTAAGAAAGGTCATTTGGTAGAATTACATGGCATTCTTTACTAAAAGCCAAGTCATAGTGCAACTCACATACAGAACTGGAAGTCTATTTTAAATCTCATTTTCCAACTGGAAGAAGAGATTTTTAGTTTCAATTTATAAGAGTATAATTAATTTTGAAAAGTTAATCCTCTTTGTCTTGATATATTTTTCTTTACTAAGTCCTACTGAATAAAGACAAAAGGAAAACTTAACCAACATATTTCATCCTCTGAGGGACTTTATCAAGGTAAACACAAGGATTTTATTTTGTAACAAGTATTTATATACAAGAGCAACAGTTTCATTGGTTTTTCAAAATTTTTAAAATTTAAGAATGCTTATAAATATTCATCAGGTTAGCTGAAAAGCCAGGCAAGCTATGGAGGATGTGAAGTGATGCAATTCAATGTCTGTTAAGCAAAAGTGAGTAAGTGATGTTCTTGGATTTTCTTTTTTAATGCAAATTAGTAATTCATTTATTTTAGTTTGGGATTAATTTATGCGCAATATATTTACCCATTTTCTTTTAATTTTTAACATTTTTGTAGTCCTGTAGGTTTACTTTGGAAAGAGGTTAATCTTTCAGGAATGGAGATATTGGGAAAAAATCCATGGTACAGATTTATATCTTGATAAGATTCAAGAGTGGCTCTCTCAAGAATTTTTCTTCTAACTTACTTTCTCTTTTAAGAAGTGTGACATTCTTTAGATCAAAGTTGTAGTTAAATTTATTTCTAATAATTTATGTATTTATTTCTATTAGTTTATATCAATACATTTGATAAATTTTTGTGTATAAGATACTTTTTATGTCCATAGATACATTTTTTTCAATTTCTGCAAATTTTCCCTATGTATTTGTCTGTTAAGTGTCCTTAGATATCAGAAATTATGTGTTGTATGATATTACCTCAAAAGAGAAGATATAGTAAAGTTATTGAGTAAGGAAGATACAACTTTGGAGATTGAGAAAAAACTAGAATAAAAATTATGGAACAAACAAAAAGAAAAATCTGGTTAAAAAAAGAAATTTGAGACAATATGAAAAGTGTAATAAGCAAGTAAAGTGAATTGACCGGCAAGAAAATATTCAAAGAAGACGGTGTTGTGAATTTAAACAGCGAGAGAAAAGTTGACACATTTTAAGAGCATTGGCTAAAGTCATGAAGACAACCAAACTACCACGTTTAAGCAAACATCACAAAGAGAAATGTCTAAATCAGATGTGGGAATACATCAACAGTAACTTTTAGTGTTTAATATAGAGCTATATTGGAATGACTTGATGGCTGGGATAGAGTTTAGCTGTGGTAATTAGTTTTGCAACACCTTTCTCTCTTCATCTCTGTTTCTAACTCAGTAATGTCTTTTCTTATTCCTTCATGGTAATCTCATTTATAACATTTTTATATCATGGGGAGTAATTCCACTCACTCCGTTTTTGTTCTTTGTCTTGTAATAGGAGACAGTTAGGGTAGAAAGCTTTATTCTCACATTTATATTTCCTCCATTATGGGCATTATTATATCTGTGATATAATAAAACCGTATTTCATGGATGGAATAGAATGGCTGAAAGGAAAAGGAATGACAAACATGTTTTGTTCTCAGACTTTTATGCCATTAAGACATACTCAAATCTATATATACATGTATTCATGTGTCCATGTGGAAAACAATATATCTACACAAGCAGAGTGTAAAAAGAAACAAGAATGGAAAGGTCTTATATATAATATAGAGATTCTTCTGTGTTTCTGGAGAAGCCATGTTTAAGACTCCAGATTCAAATGAGCTGGATTCATCTACTATGTCCCAGGTGAGGACATATTCCACAAATAAGAAATGGCGAGTCTTGGGTTTTCCCAAATTGAGAATTGCTAGCTGGAGTTTCTATATCTATATCTAGTTATGTTGTTTTTTGCTTTTTTTTTTTTTTTCTTTTTTTTTTACATTTTTTTAATTGTAAATAATCTTTTTTCTTGTTTGTTATGTTGTGTAGGAAGAAATATATTCTTTAACATATTTTTTCCTGTGTTATATTTTAAATTAATTTTTGCCTGGTTATTAAAGAAAGATATTGGAAAGGATGGCTCAGAGGAATGCCAATTAATTTTTTAACCAATTACAAGTATGACTAAATAACCAAACAGAAATTTCAGATCTAAGAAAATTACTGTTTCATTCTTGTTGTCAGGTAAGTAAAGCTGGTTGCCAAAAATTCTTATATATCCCAATGGATCATCATTATCATCATCATTATTCCTATGACTAGGTGTGGTTGTAGAGTTGCTGTACAACTGAGCCCATGACTAGTTCAATCCACATATTTGGATTGAATGAGAGAGTATGCAGAGCCCATTCCTCAAACGACAGCTGATGTTCTCCAATGTGAAGACTCATCTTGATCACAGACATGTGGCCATTGATTCCACCAGGAGAACCCTCCACTTCAGTCTAAGAAGCCCTCTGCCCAATAAATCAGGATTTTTAAAAATAGACCAATGGCTTTTATGCCACTTTGAAGATTCTTTCCCAAATATATTTGATCAATGAGAATTAGTGTCCTTCATGAAAGGGGGCATGTAGTGATAGAAAAATAAAAAAAAAAATAATAAAAAGGAGACCAAAATTATGCCATCTCTAAAAACAGATTGCTAGACATATTTTGACCAACCAAACAGACACCATCCCAAACAGGATATGAACATCATAACCTATTGAGTGAATTAGAAACATGAGATGCTCTCAATCAGAATATAAGGTCACTAATCATGAACCAATGAGGAGCTAAGCAGTACTTTTGAAGCAGATCTCAAGATATGTATATAACGAGATGGAAAAATCAACCAAAATCATAATTGATGAATTCATTTTATCTATTCTCTGGTCATGTGGTTATCGTAATATAATCTCACAAAGACACATTTCATACCTACCTCATTGGTGATCTTAGATGTCCCCACAATTGTGTGTTCATATTAAAGTATACATACTACTTTCAGCCACATTTTTAAGCAGATGCCTGTTTCATTTGAATTCATACATGTATACATACTTCTTAACTCTGTGGCATATGCATTAGGACA